GTCCATGATAAAAAAAAAAAATCGGCCATGGTAAAACAAAAGAAAACACGAATTGGTCCAAACAGAGTTGCGGACTAAGAAAGAACGCAAGCAGCCCTGCGGTGCTATTTGTAGCATTGGTGGCAAATAAAAAAATAAAATAATGACTAATGCCGCTGGCTGCTTTGCTTGGTGTTTAAAAAAATAAAAATAATTTTTTTTTATTCTCCGCCAGAGCTGCTTAGAAACAGCGGCAGAGCTAAAAAAAAAAATCAGTTCTGCCCGCTGCTTCCCCAGCTCTGGCGGAAAAGAAGAGAAAAAAAAAATTCCAGCCTGTTCCTAACAGCCCTGAAAAGAAAAAAAAATTTAATTAAAAAATTAATTAATCATGCAGCGCTGCCGTGGTTTCCCCAGCCGTGAAAGAAGAGGAAGAATTTTTTTTCAGGCCCGCCACAACAGCTCTGGCGGCAAATCATAAAAAAAATAAAAATAAAAAAAAATAAACTAGCCGCAGCGTTGCAGGGCTGATGCAGCGTTGTGGACGGAATACACAAGGTAATGAGAACTCCACAAAAATAATTATGTATGGGTTTGAGCAGCACCGAGGAGAATTGGTTTGCGTGGCCATCACTTTGTTTTGGCAAATCACATAATTTTGCCAACATGGTTGTTTTGGGTTTGGTCTGCATGATTCACAAGGTATTTTAAGTGATTTAAATTATGTAAACAATTTGGTTCATAATTCTTATAAACCAAATTGTGGGGGGCATTTGTTGACACCTAAAATTAATTTGGCAGGAATTAAATGCCGCATTAATTAGTCTCGGCATTTAAGTCGATACCGCTCGTAAAAAACGGTATCGTTGGGAGTCGAGCGGCGTCGCGGAGAACTAAAATGGTACCGCAAGGAAACTCAGCGGTGCCGCGGTATGCAAACGACACCGCTTACCGAAAAATAAGAGGGCCGCGCGCGGGTATTGGAGAATGCGTTTTCTCTAATTACTTATTATTTTTATTCCTTGTTGGATGGGAAGAAGCGGCACTGAGGGGAGTTAAAACTGTGCCGCGGAATTAATAACAGTACCGCGAGGAAGCCCAACGGTACCGCTATACAAGCAAACGACAGTGTTTAATAAAAAACAATGTCGCAAAAGGAAAAACAAACGGAGCCTTTTTGGCGCTAACGATGTTGTTGGTAATGGACTAGTGATGGTCAAATTAGTTAATTAATATTTTAATGACTTCTTAGCACGGTGTCGTTAGTTGAAAACGATGCCGCAAGGGGAAGGAACAACACCACGGATTTAAAGACGATGCCGCGAAGAGGCCAAACGATGCCGCAGTTGTTAAAACGACAGCGTTAAAGTTAAAGCGGCATCGCAAAGTTCAAGCATCGCAGAAATAGAAAACGATGCTGTTTAATTACTAACGGCGCCGCGAAGTGAGAGTTTGACAGCGTGTTAACAATGATGGCCGGTTTAATTAATTAATATTTTAAGGATCAGTTAAGACGGTGTCGCTTTAGCCGAAAACGACATCGTGGGAGAAGTCGACACCGTCGGTACGATGGTGTTTAATTAAAAACAACGTCGCAGTGACGAGAGTTCAGCAATGGTGGATTTCGGCTCAGTGTCGTTTTGGACCAAGTTGCCACGTGCTCAAGCGGTTTCGCACTCGTGGGAGTTACGCAACAAGGAGGAAGTTACCTGCACGGTTGACAGATGTGAAGACGTGGGAGACAAAGGCGCGAAGGCAGTTACTACGATGAGGAGAAGCGCGAAGTATAAAGATTGGGAAGAGAGAGAAGTTCGAGACGGCAAAATCAAATCACAACTGCACCATCGCAGAATTTACCGTTTTCTCTCTAGTTTTCGTAGAACCGCTCTGTCAAAGACCTCCTTTGCAGAGTCGTAGTCGTAGCTTGTAGTCGTAGTCGCGGAGCTCTCCAGAGGAACCTCCATAGGAGTAGAGGTAACGTAACTTAGAACACTCTCGGTTTGGTTTCTCGTTTCTCGTTGAACACCCTCGTTCGAACGTAGTTTGGAGAGGTGGTGAACCGAGTAACGGTTGTTTGATTAGAGGTCAAAGGTGCATCGATCAAATCAACGACGCCGACACCGGCGGCGGATATTTGACGATCCTCTTTGGTTCTGTTCGATCGATCAAATCAACGACGCCGACATTCGGCGGCGGATATTTGACGGTTGTGATTGACGTGTGTTTTGTATTTTCTTGAAAACAGTGCGCAGTTAACACACGAGTTTCGCCAACGAAACAACTTGATATATTGATTATTTTCATTAAAAATTTGACAAGGAAACTATAGCATGATAAGTGTGGTTTAGTTATTAAAGAAATTGAAATTCTCGTCTATCTAAAACTTTATTATAGTAAAAAAAAAGTAATATCTTAACTACTTTCTATAAACTTACATATAATTAAGTTACACAATAACGGGTCGAGAATGAGGCAGGCATGAGCTAGACAGATCGAGAATAGTAACCATGTCTGCCCCACCCCACCTACGTACAAGGCAGGTATTACCATGTCAAAACAGGTTAAACATGTCAGATAGAACGGATGAAACAAACGAAACAATGAAACAAATGCGTATAATTCATATACTGATCTATCTCTGATTTCCATTTGATAGTAGATAATATGTCTTTTAACTCATAGCAACACTTACCAAGTGGGTTAGGAAAACATGCGCCTACTTTACACTTGGGACTCTGAAGGCACAATAATATATAACATGCACCGAAATTCTGCGGATGTGGTTTATGTGGATGTAAAGAGGCAGACAATCCTCCATCACAAAATTAAAAGGTCGAAATTAACTTTGGTTTCGAATCACGAATCAGCTTTTAACTTTGGTTTCGGGAAGAACAATAGGGAGGACATGGACCAACCTGACAAAATAATAAATGCGGCATCCATCAGACCATCACCATCTTCCTTCCTTCCTTCCTTCCAGGTATCTGTCTATCCATCTAAGACAAAGAGGGCAACATTTCAAAAAGAGAAATAAACATGAAAGCCACCTACAATTGACCTTCACCACCATCGCCAGCCCAGCCTTAATTAGCAGCCTACCATTCTGGAGGTTCAATTCAAACATGGCCTGCGCCAACTTGATCCCAACACATTAATTAAATATAATAATTATAATAATACAAGTTGATCCCTTTTATTTTTCTACTTTAACGACGTCGTCCATCTCCATGCAATTTCTGACCACTCCCTTCTCCATTCATCATCCATCCATCGGGTCAACTCCTCGTGTATCCATAAATGAAAGAAGCTGCCTCTCCCTCTCATCCATTCTCTTCTCTTTCTTGGCTCTTCTAGCTACTACTGCCCACAAAGAAACAGAAGAAGATTGAAGAAGATGCAACAATAAAAGTCATGATTATCAAACTAAAATTATGCTGATTATTATTTATTGGCTCCTGTCAACCTTTAACGCTGGCAGCATGCAGTACTTTAAGGTTAATTACTCAGGTTGTTAAAACTTATAATAGGGTTGTAAGTTGTAACCGTTGTTTTGTCAATCGACACGGACCGTTTATTCCAAGATTAACGCACCGAATTTGGACTTCTGAGATTCGGGGGGTTTTTTTTTTGTCGAAGTCTGTAACATGGCTCCGTTTGTAGTTTAATGCAAATTAGTTTTTTTTTTTTTTTACAACATAATGCAAATTAGTTAGTTAATATATTTAAGACAGTTTCCACAGTAATGTCAAACTATCCACCCACGCAACCTGCTAGCTAGCTATGTCCATATATTTTTTTATATATTTATATCGTATAGTAGTTAATAGCAGTATTAGTTCTTGAGAAGCGAAGCTGCAGTTACCACGAGCAGATAGTAGAAAACGGGTTCTGATGATTTGATACCTCACTTTGGAATACGTTCTCTCGAAGTGAGGGAAACAAAATTGGTCAACCAAAGGAACGAAGTTTAAGCTTAAAGGGCGGATGTCTGTCGTTCGAGATCCAAGTTAGTACCGGCAAAGATTTATTGATTCCTTAAGAAATTAGATTTGGGCCTGTTGTATAAGGTTGGCTCAATAGTTCGACATGTTCCATTCCTCTTTCACCTAAATTCATATACACATATTTTTAAAATTTACGCATCGATCATTTTTCTTTATCATGTCTGTGCCGACTGCAGACTAATCGCCTCACACAGTCACACACGAGGTATGTACTATATACTACAACTCTCGGATCTCTAGTAGGACTCTCATTCCGACGACCCGAGTATTAGATGTAAGAGAGACAAATGCTGGAAGAGAGAAAGAAAGTGGGGTTTGATTAACTAATAATTAAGCCAAATAGTCTTCAATCCCTTATGACCTTAGAATATAAGGACTTTAATTTGCTCAATAACATGCGTTAGCTAGTTCAGCTGCAACAATTTCGCATCGCCATTTGAACCTGTGCTTGCAAGTTTGAAATTCATTCATCTGACCAAGAAATTTATACTCGGAAATAAGCAGCTAGCAACGTCATTTCCATCTACCTGTACTACAATATTCACTAGCCAAAATGGGTTGCTACATGTTAATGTTCTTAACCAACACCAATTTAATTATTAGATCAAGAATAAGTTAGATCATTAGCATATAATATTTCATCTTATTAATGACAAACCCTAGTGATCGAGAAATCACAATGTCCGTGAAAATTTGATTTTGAAAGAATGACAATCAACTCGTTTGAATCCAGTTTACAATTAGGATTATAGATAGATCATTATTCGAATCTTCCCTCAAAATTCATCTAATCCAAAGAACAAACGAAGTATGAATCTTCCCTTCAGAAAAATAAAAAATAAAAAAGTATGTGTTCATTGAGGAAGGCACAATTTTATGCCCTGTTTCTGTATAAATCTGTACATCCGAGATATGGTCAATTTTATGTGGAAGAAGAAAAATTGATATGGTTCCTATAATAATTTGACTACCAATCTTAATCTTTTTACTAAATCTGTACTTTCTTTTCCAAATGGAATCTCAGGCCGCCGCCGGATAAGAACAGAGCAAAGTCGCCGGCACACAAGGCGAGCTCCTCCAAACACGGGCGTGCAGCCTCAGAATCTCCCTCGCCTTATCCTTCGCCCTCGCGCTGCTCTCCACCTGCAGCACCAAGCACAGCTTCGCCACCACGCCGATCTGCAGCATCTCCTGCAACACCGCCGCCGTCGCCGACGACTTCCCCACCGACAGCAAGATCCTCACCGCCTTCTCCGTCGCCGCCGTCGACACCCGCAGTATCTTCTTGCTCACCACCGCTAGCCCCGCCGCGTGCTTAAGAAGCTCCGCCCTCCCTTCCGCGCACTGGCACAACACGTCCAGCGCCGCGAGCGCCAGCTCGCAGGCCCGCCTGCTCTCCGACTCCGACGGCGAGTCGAGGAGCAGGTCGACGAGGGCCGGAACCGCGCCGGACTCCACAGCCTTGACGCGGTTCCGGCCCCACGGGCCCAGCTCCACCAGGAGCCCCAGTGCGGCTTTGGTCGCCTGCCTCGACACCCGGTCCCTGACCATCTGGACCACCTCCGCGAGGAACCCGACCCGAACCCCGATGATCCGGAGCGGGTCCGCCAAGCGGAACGCGGACCTGGAGATAAGGACCGCGTACGCGCGGGACTCGTACGTCCCGCGCTGCATGACTCGCGTGAGCGAGTTGATAAACTCGCAGTTCCTGTTCACCAGAGCCTTCAGCGCGGGCTCCGAGATCTGGAGCCCGTGCAGGAGGCTGAGCGCCTCGTCGCAGGGGCTGGAGCCGAACTGCTCGATGCAGTCCAGCTCCGTGTCGTGGTTGAAGTCGACCACGACCGAGGCCAGGAAGTCGACCGCTCCGGGGGCCTGCTCGATGCACCGGCGGTTGGCCTCGCTCTCTTTCGCGAGAGACCTGAGCTGCCTGAGGCATTTGACCTGGTCGTAATGTGGAGATGAGGATGTGGCGGCGGAGTGGATGAGCTTGGAGATTTGGGCTTTGGTGACGGGAGGTTTAGGGGTGGGGATGCGTTCGAAGCCGTGGGAGGCGTTGAGGGTGCACCATGACTGGATGAGGCGGCGGAGGATGATGTTGGGGGTGAGGTCAGCGTCCGGCGGGATGGGCTGCTTGGTGACGGGACAGGTGGCGGCGGAGGAGGAGGAGAGCCAGCGCTCGATGCTGTCGCGGTCGTAGGTGATGCCGGTGGGGACGGTGACTGGATCCTTCATGATTTGGAGGGAGATGGGGCAGAGGAAGAAGGATGGGACGTCGATCTCCGGCTCCATTATTGCTTCTTCTTCTCCGATGAGTAGTTGGCGGCTATTCACGACCGTTGAAGGGTTATCTGTGGGAGTAGTTTGAGAGAGTTGGAACTTTTTTATTTGGGTTGGATTGTTTGGTTGATGGAAGTAGGAGGGAAGAGGAGTTTGTGGTGGGTTTTATATAAGAGGGGGAAAGGGAGTAGAAGGTCAAAAGGTGCAAATGTCAAAACACGGCAACTACAGCAGAGATACAGAAAGAGAGAGAGAGAGAGAGAGAATGACTTTTCAACGGTGGTGGGAGGGTTGGAAAGCCAAGCGAGTTCTAAAAGGGTATAATGGTTGAGCATAACTACTACTTCTTTTGGTCTTCGAAATGATGAAGGAAAATTATATATTTTTATATTTGGGTGAATTGTAAGTGTGGTCACTAGGATAATAGGATTACTAAATTGTTTCTCATTTTCCACTAAAAATATTTTAATCTATTTGAAGTCACTTAAATTAGTTCAGTAAGTTCAGTAGTTTAAGTTTGGTCACTGATCTGACATTCCCTCAATCTTCGCTAACGACTGACGTGACTAACAAAAATGCTGAGTCAGCAAAATTTAACCTGAAAAAATGTTAAATTCGACCCGTTATGTCATAACAACAACTTACTCAACCTTGCAAATCAAACCAACCAATTAAACCACCCAACCCATCAAAATTAAAATCAAATAATTGTAAAAGATGATAAAAAGAGTGGTCATCGATATGTCTTCTCCTTCAATTTGCGACGTGGTGTTCGCATAGTGGCTTGTGGGTTGTGGCCGTGCAGGAGAGATATGTGAAATGGAGGGAGAGTTGGTGGTGGAGGAACATGAGAACGAAGGAGGAGGAGAAGAAGAAGAAGTGTTCAGTAGCCCGAAGACGGAGAGAATAATGGCAGAGAATAATATGAAGCCGAGTTTGAAAGAGGAGACGACGCAGGAGGAGGCAGTTGGTTTTGATGAGAGTGCATGGTACGGTAGAGTCACAGGTTGGGTTTGGTCGGGTAATGAGTTGAGGTTGGCTTTGAGGACTTGACAAGTTTTGATGATGTGGCAAGTCGGGTATAAACTTTTTCGGGTTGAAATAAACTAATTAAGTGTTTCTATTAGTCACGTTACCAGTTAACTTACGTTGCTAACAAAAACTGGCGGAAGGTAATGACCACTGATCAAACTTGCACTAATTGATCACGAATGAAATAAAATAGTTATAGTGGCAAGTGTGAAATTTTTTATAGTTCCAGTGACCAAACTTGCAATTTAACCATTTTATTTTATTATTTTTTAATATTTTTTATTTTATTATTAGTTTGGAGGACTTTAGTAGAATGGAAGATCCAATCTGGCCCCTTTTGACTTTCTCTCTCTAGGAACTTCCTTAGCGTTGTATTGATAAATTCTCTGTCCACCTCGTGTTTATTGAGTGTGGGAGATTGGCTTGGCATTGCCGACAAAAGGTCGTCGTTGCTTCTTTCGCGGGGCCGTCCCATTTGCTCTTGCTGATAACTACTGCAGTTGTCTGGCTAAGTGCTTTCTTTTTCGTTTTTAACTTTGCTCTTTATTAGATAACTATTTTATCAAGTAATGTAAGGTGATGGATTGAATGACGATAATTCTCCAAGAACAGTAGTAAATTTTTTGGAAGATCCAAGTGCAGCAGCTGTCAGGGGCGGATACATGGGCCTCTAAGGGTGTCCCGGGACACCCCTAAAATTTGGGAAAACGATTATCCAACCTTGGGTAGTAGTTTCGTATGGGTATACAAAATATAATTGGTAATCCGGGACATCCTAACATTTGAAAAAATGATTATCCTACCCTCGATAATAGTTTGCTTATGATTAACAAAATATAAGTGGTAGTCCGTGTTATTCCAACCTAGGACACTACTATTATCAAACATATTCTAATTATGTTGCTACTCATTTGTTATTCTATTTTTAAACATCATGCAACTAGAAAAACGCTATTTCTCTATCCCCAACTATTTTCAATACCTAATAATTAAACTACGTACACGCTACCCTTAATTTTGAATTGATTTTATGGTTACACGGCAAGTGTTGAAAGAGTCTTTTCTACGTTGAGCTACATTAAGAACAAAGTTAGAAATCGAATATGTGATAAGTTTGTGAAGTATTGTCTAGTAGGATATGTATATTTTTTTTGAACAGTGCAGACACGAATTTTATTTTATATTATTTTTTCAAATATGAAAACACATCATAAATTTTAATAAAAAATTTATACAAGTTTGATATTTTTAATATATGAATTATTTAATTAAATTTTTGAAGAGGACACCCCTGTGAAAATTTTCTGAATCCGCCACTGGCAGCTGTAGTAAATTTTGGTCCGAGGGACATTTAGGTCGTATTGATGTTGCCAGCATTTGTATCCTCGTTTGCATTATGTACAAAAAATGCTAAAGGTTATCACTTATCACTTTCAATCTAACTGTTGAGGTATGAGTGTAAGGATAATGCAACAACATAGGCACGTACTATGTTCAATTGCAAGAGCTTGGAGCGATTTTAAAATGTTAGAGAGTGATATAAAATTCACTCTTAATTTTCTCCCAAGAACTCGAGTTATTGTGACGAACTGGTTTATGATTTAGTATCAGAGATGGTTTTGACTAAGTGGATGTGTGTACGAATCTTCACGAACCGTAATATTAACAGTTGATTTAAAATTGACACTCCTTATTCTACCCTTCCTACAAACGCTCCTGGAGCAGGGAATTTGAAATGGAGGAGGGTTTTTTTTTCCTTCCCTGCTATTATATGTTTTTAATTTTAAAAGATACAACAAATATACTTAGTGCGATTGGTAATAGATTATTGTGTAATGGAGCAACGGTTTTCCCTTTTCTGCTATTATATATTGTGTAATAGATTATTAACCTTCTATCAACTGCTCGAGCGATTGGAACCAACCGGTTGATGACAGGAAAAATAAGTATGATTTATTTTATTAACCGATGGGGGAACATTAGATCGTTCGTTTTGTAGCTATATAATATATCCATTCTAAAATTATAATTAATACACAATTAAATAACACACTTGCTGAGCAGGCTCTACTAAAAAAATCATGGAAAGCATGATTTGTAAAGATATGTTTGGGAGGGGGTGTGTGATCCTTGTTGATCCGTGTCTACACACGAACATGTATACTAATTATATCAACGTGAAAGATTTTGATTCTGGAGTTTAATTTGTTAGATGACAGATTCGATATTGTTTTAGCAATATTCATATAATACTTAATTACTCCAAGTTGGGTATTCGAATTATGATATGATGATATTGCTAGGAGTTAGAGGATTATTATATAATTAATTTTTAGGGTTAGTGTTGTTCGACCTAGTATATATTGTGGAGAAGGTCATATTTTTCCTGTAACAGATACGTAAGCAATAAAAACTATAAACTGCCTTGTGTTGTGGACTAGTCTCAACGATCATCGTTGAGGAAACCATATAAATCTCGTGTCCCGTGTTCGTGTTCTTTCGATTCAATTATGGTTTTGACATGGTATCAGAGCCTCGCGCTTTTGATTTATGAGATTCTTGTTTTGGACTGCGAGCTGGGATTCGGCTGCTCGCCGTTTTTGTGCTTCTCGTTAGTGGGTGGCAGCTTTCTTGCTCTTCTCCGTTGATCATCTCTCTCGCTGTTGGCTGATTTTGGGATTTCAATTTTTGGACTTGGGCTGCTATTTTTTTGTCTTCTCCAGTCGCGTGCTCGGAGCTTTACGACACGGCTGTCTTTTCCTTCCCTTTCCACGTGCCTGGGTCTGGGAACTTCTGTGTGTTCTGCATCTCTGTATCGACTGTTGTCCTTGGTATATTATTTCTTGTCTTTACATTATCATGGAGGGATTGAAGAATGATGCTATTGTCGTTCGTTTTACCGGTAAGAACTATGTTGTGTGGGCCTTTCAATTCAAGCTTCATGTTCAAGGTCAACGTTTTCTGTCTTTTCTTGATGGTTCGGCCAAGGAACCAGATGCATATGCGACGCCGAAGGCTAAGGAGGATTGGGATGCATCCAATGCTAGTATTATGTGTTTGTTGCTCAGTATGATGGAATCAGACATTGCTTTGAGTTTGCAGGGCTTTTCTACGGCCTCGTGAATGAGGCAGCATCTTGCTAATCTTTACTCGAAGCCCATCGCTTCTCGTAAATTTGATCTGGAGTGTGATCTGGGTCGTTTGACTCAAGGTGATTCTGACATAAGCTCATACTATCAGGCTGCGGTTACTCTCTGCACTTAGCATGATCATTTAACGAGCTCTTTGTTGACTAGTGCGAAGTCGACTGACGTCATCCGTGAGCGGACGAGTACGAGGATTATGCGCTTCATAATGAATCTGCGGCCTGAGTTCGAAGGGATTCGAGCATCTCTTCTGCATTAGAATGTGGGGACCATGAATGAGATACATGTGGAGCTTCTTTGTGAGGAAACTCGTCTCAGGAGTCAGGCCAAGCTGGATATTCATGCTAGTGATTCTCATTCTACCTTTGCAGTTCAGGGATGAAACCTCAATTTCATCATACTACGAAGGGTGAGATCATATGTCATTATTGCAAAGAACCTGGTTGATAACTCGATATTTACACATGTTTTTTGTCCACCATTCTTATACTGTTTGAGGCTCGGATCTCGGGTTTTAAGCCGATTTTATTCTAAATTATTCTTGTTTATGACATTTCAAGTCCTAATGCGTGAGTGAAGGTTTGAGCACGAGTTCAGGGTCGATTGGGCGAAGACGGGACGATTGATGGAGAGTAGACGAGTTGCACGGTCAGCCCGGGAAGATGCACGGCCGTGCATGGTGGCCGTGCAAGCGAAGATGCACAGCCAGGGTTTGCACGGTCATGCAAGACTTATTTTCTGGCCGTGATGAATTCTGCGAGAAGCTGCACCGCCAGACTCTCGGATTGCACGGGCCATGCAATGGCCGTGCATTCCCCTCGCAAAACTAATTCA